ACCCAAGAGGAAAGCGAATTTTGGGAATAATGAGGGCAACAAATGTATAGATGTGCTTTACACAATTGATCTATGTATTGTGATGAATGGTATGAGCCCCAATAAATTGATTTAAAAAAAAAGAAACAAAGAGAAACCAGTAGTGTATAAATATTTCAGTCATTATGCATTGAAATTAGAATGTTCCACCATCTGGGAAAAATTAAGACATGAAAGAACCCAGAGAAGCAAAACTGAAGAGATCAAACACAGAATACAGAACCTACATCAGTTATTAAATATGGCAAACCAGACAAAGTCAACAAAGTATTGAAAAGTCTGTAGATTTCAATGAATGGCCACAGTAATCAGAGACGTGTAATCAGTCCTGTTTCTTATTAAAAATAAGAACACTTTGTTTATAAAAGTTTCCCCATTTAAACATAAATTAACAGGAAATATACCAGATCAAGGGATACTTGAAGTAAAGGGGAAATAACCAATGCTTTTCACTCTATCTATGAAATACCTACTGGCAATGAGTAAAATTAAACTGCCTCTGCCCCACTTATTTAATATCATTCTTCCCTCAATCAACACTGAAAACATCAAAGCATGTTCAAGTAAAGAAATGGAAATTCATGAGTAAGGGTTACATGTATATTTTTAATTTCTAGGTTCATCATCTGTTTTAGAGTAAAATTATCTTTTCAATTGTACTGTTAATTTCCAATTAGTAACTGTAAAAAAAGTGCCTGAGTTCCCAGAATTCAGTCTCACTCTATCTACTTTTCTGGCTTTGCCAGACAGGAAGCCAGAATTAGCAAACATTTTAAAGAATTAAAACTGTGATCAAAATACAGGTTTTTATATAAGCTAACCAATAATTATCTTTTCTGTGCAGCAGTAGCTCTCAACAAATATCAATCTCTGACACACCTGTGATTTGGGAGAACAGCAGGGAGTCCAGAACCTCTCCTTCTGTCCTTCAGCCATACCCTCTCCTCTCCTTTTCCTCAAACCACATGCCCTAATCCAATCCTCCCTCACAATTACTTCCTCCTTAGTCTTTGACGCCCTCTTTCCCACAATGAATACAAAGCCCCAGAGGACCAGAATTCATAAGCAGGAATAAGCAATACCCCAAAGTCTCAGGGGCACAAAGAATAGTAGTTCAATTGAGGTTATAGTCTCTCCCAATTATATACCTTAACTGTTGTTGTTCAGTTACATTGCACTTACAGGCTACATTGGTTCTAATTTAAATGCCATCATCCTGAATTTCTTGACTATCTAACTTGGTTATTTTTTCCGTCTCTAAATCGTAACTATAACATCTAAGGCAGGAAGGCGGTATCAGTTACCTTCATAAACATAATTCACAGCCAGGAAATGGAGTGAAGATGGATTTATTTTAACTTTAATATCATCTCTCATTTTCTTCAAAGATTACCAAAATGAGCTAAACTAAACTAGACTAAAAATTATACAAGGATTTACGGAATAGTGATTCTTTAATTCAATCAAGTGTAGGAATTTCACTAGAGAAATGCAAAAGAGAACTATATTTCATTCTTTGAATAAGCAACTATTTCATTACATAATTTATCTTGGCATAAAAAGAACATGCTAAGTGATGGATCTTATTAACTTGTATTGGACAAGATCTAACCTAACTAGCTCTAAATGTTGGAAATGTAGCAATTACATAATGATTGGACAAATGCCTTTACAACAAATGATAAAGCTCAACATCTAATCTAGTTTTGTGCAGTGTATGAGCTATAATAAAGTTGCTTTCAAGGGAAGAAGAAGTTTTTGAGAACATTTCCTCCCGCCACATGTTGCGACACCAGTCGTTCAGCAGAAGGTTGAGGTTCTCTGCTCCATTAAGACTGACAGCTGCAGAAACCTACAGAGGCAGTTCTGCCCTGTCCTATAGGATCTCTGTGGGTCAGAATCAGCTTGATGGCTGAGAGCGTGTTTATGGAAAATTGCCTTCATTTGAAAGACCTCTAATTTTTAAGTTGCACCTTCATAAAGATATGTCCAATTGCATATATCATGATATTTTTTTCTAAACCTCTGAAGAGGAATGGATTAGCCAACTCTTAGACTCCAGAAAGAGAAGGAAATTACACAGCTTTTGAGCCATTTATCTCTTGGTGTGCCAATATAATTTGGTACATTAATGCTGGATGGTAAATTCTCTTTGAATTGTTGAAGGGAAAATGAAATAATTTATTTTACAACATTCTATATACTATAATGGATATATATAGTTTAAATGGCATTTTATTGATAAGGATACTGATCAATAAAAATAATTTAAAATAAGTCATATTAAATATATTAAGTAAATTCTTGCTCATTTAGACCAAAACCATCTTGAAAAACCCATTAGGACAACAGGTGGCTGACAAGATGTGTTCATACTACCTATCTAAGTTGATGATGAATGGAGCTGATTGGATCTGAATTCCCCTCTCCTGAATTTTATGAGGACCATTCAGAGGGAACCAGATTGAGAACACCACCAATTCCACGTTCTGGGTCCATCTGTTGGCAAAAATATACTGTAAACAGCTTCATGAGTGCTATTTGCAATAAAATATCACAGAACAGCTTGTCCCAAGGATATTTCTAAAGCTTGCCTGCAAACCGCCTACTGGGAAATCCAACTGTAAGGGAAGGGGGAAGAGATAGAAACCATATAGAGAAGTGGCAAAGGGTGGGGGTGGGGCTAGAACAAAGGGTAAGGAGAGACTAGCTAGAGGCACTTGAACTCCTGAGTGGGGAAATTAGCTAGCCATGGTGAGGAATAGCAAATTTAAAGAACATATATGAAAATAACGGAGGGAACGATATAGAGGAGGAACCACAAGTAACATAGCATGTCCATAGAAATGAGGACAAACAGAGCAGACTGCACCAGGAAATACGGCAGCTCAGTAACTGGCAGAGATTGATGTGGAGGGAGGGAAAGAATACCAAACACCCATTTTTCTAAGCTTCAAATATTTGTTCCAGTCATGCACGGATGAAGTGTTCCAGAACCTTATCGATTTTAATGTCCATCATCAACTCCAGAGAAAGCAAATATTTTCTTGAGTCTCTTATTTTAATCTACAAGTCATATCAAAATCCAGTCTAGGAGCTGCACTTACATGGTGAAGATGCAACGATTCAAAAACAAAACAGTGTAGTGCGGACGATGTCTTTCTGAACACTTACCTGGGGTCGGATAACTTTGACAATATTTTTGAGGGCAGTGTCGGGGGATGGCGGTGAACAATCAGGTGTTGGGCCGGTTGAGCTGTTTCTATGGTTACTAGCTCCTGGAGCAGTAATTGCTACCTCTGAGGCAATATCTGTGAATAAAAATAGAATTGCCATGAACCCAATTACTCAGTTTACCTTTTAGGATTTGAAAATATTTTTGTGAATATGAATTGAGATTTGAATTTAATTCTGGTACCAATCCCAGGATGGTAATGAGGAATATGTTTAGCAGTACATTTTAAAGATAATGTTTATTGAATATTTTGTGTCCTCTGTTAACTGGTAAATATCATGCACTATGGTATTGTTTGAAGAAGGAAGAGGATTGTTGTTAAATTCACAAAGTTACATCATCAAGCATAACTCTTAAGTCTGCCACCATTGTAAGATTGATTAAATTTTCAATTAAAAAAAATTTTATGATCTGAGGACACTGTTTTCACTTTAATATTTCAAATAAATAGTAAGTTGATTAAAGAGTTACACATCTTCTTGATCAATAAAACCCTAGTCCGAGCCTCCTCACAATAGTCCTCCCTCAAACCATACCAATAAATTAAACTTGGTGATAAACTGGCCTTTGTACAAAATGGACATGTAATGGAAACAAGCACTGAAGAACAAAATCATCACTCCTCAAGAAGCATGTCCCATGTATATACAAATTAAATGAATTAATTTCAAAAGCTCTAAGCTAATTGCTCAGTATTGGGTGGTAGGTGGATAAAGAAAGTGATTCCTTGATCAGCGACGTGTATAACAATTTCTGTTACCATTTATATTAAAACAATAAATTCAAAAACACCATTTTGAAATATTTATAATACTTGGGAAATATGAAAACTTTTCTATAAATAATCTCCATTAGCACACAGAAAAGTTATAATATTTAAACAAGGTTATTCAACAAGCCTCTATAGTTTTTTCTTTCTTTCTTTTTTTAAACATTTTATTAGGGGGTCATACAACTGTTATCGCAATCCATACACACATCAATTGTGTAAAGCGCATTTGTACATCATTCTCAAAACATTTTCTCTCCACTTAAACCCCCTACATTAGGTTCTCATTTTTCCCCTCCCTCCCCGCTCCCCCTTCCCTCATGAGCTCTATAGTTTTTTCAAGACAAAATTTCATTTATTTGTAATTAGAAATAAATATTTCACAATATATAATTATATATTATTTTTGTGATGAATCACTATGCTTTAATTATGTTCAATTGGTAACAATGAAAATGCCCCCTGCATATGAGATGTTTATATGATGATTCATAAGAGTAGCAAAATTAGTTATGAAGTAGAATGAAAATAATGTTATGATTGGGGTCACCACAACATGAAGAACTGCATGAAAGGGTCGCAGCATTAGGAAGGTTGAGAACCACCCCCTTAGAATGTCCTGAGCACTCAAGACACTAGGTGGAGGCCCCAATGAAATTATTTAATAAAAAGTAAGGGAAGAAAAGAATTGAACTCCACTTTTAAGAATTGAGTTTAGGATCTGGATGTACTAAGTTTGTACTCTTTTCTTTTGACTGTTGTTATTGATATCATGGTTGATAGAAATGATTATTGGTAAGTACAGAGAGCTTGTAAGCTCATTGGTTGAACCACCAATTTGAATCTTTAAATGGGTGCAGAACACACCTGCAAAGAAGACTCTGAGAAGCCTCGATAGTTTTTGATGAAAACTGTTAAAGCTCAAGTCTCGGGGGTGGAAATATTACTTTCCTGCTATGCTTTTAACTAGTTCCAAATAATTTTTCTGTCTCAACTGAATTGTTGCAAAAGAGACCGATACTATGAATGCTGTAAGGGTCAGTGAGCTTTTCTGTGGCATGGCCAATGCCTGCAATTTCAACTGGAAAAGGGAAATTTATGAAGTCACTTCTTGTTCATAAAAAGAGAGGAGATATACTCCCATAAAACTCAATCTATCACATAAAAAATATAGTTCAGTCTTACTGGAGAGTCTAGACATAGCTCATGAACCAAAAAGTACAAGTGTGGCACACTGAATTCCAGACATCATTCATAAAACAAGTGCTTAAAGTTTCTGGAGCTCACCTTTCACTAAGGCGTGACAGATGTGGAGATTTGAACTGAGATTTCAAAACCAGGTAGGGTTCATACGATAAGTTTGTATGGTGGTCCTCCGAGTGAGTAGATGAGTGTGAAAAACAGCACTCAGCAAGGCAATGAGAAGACACCCGGATTCTCTCCAACGTGTCTTTCCTTTACTGTCATTTACAGGTATTTATTTGGGGGCACCTTTGTGTCAAATATGATGCTAGGGTCTAAGGATAACCTTAAAAGAAGATCTGTCCTTTAAAAGTACACAACAACATAGCATCAGAAATGCAAGCAAATACTACTGCAGTCTAACTTGAGACTTGAGAGTCAACGAAGGAAGCCTGGTGGAAGAACAGGGGCAGGAGCAATCAGACTGGCTGGGCGAGGAGGTGGATGTGAAAGGCTTCTGTTTCCAGATAACTAAACTGGAAGGGAGAATAAGATAAACAAGTATAAAGGTGAAAAGATGCTAACTGAACATGCTGTTTTATCTGAGAAGAAATTGGAAGGAAAATTAAATGAGTGAAATCAAGTTTTATTAGTATATTTACTTCTTATAAAATGAGAAATGTTGAAGATGTGGGTTTAATGAGGGCCGGTCCTACCGATGATAATAATCTCCCCTTCTCCACATGTGTTGGGTGGACCTGTGCTCCGTAGGGCTTTCAATAACTAGTTACATCAGTTGATCATCAGGTCATTCTTAGAGGACCCTCTGGATGGCCTCTAGCTTTCACCCTGTGTTAGCATCTAAGAATGTAAGCTGTTTTCACTGCCTAGGGATTCAAATAAGAATCACAGTTCACAATTACTGAGTAGGAGCCTGACCGAAAAGTGGGTTGTGTGTGGGGTTGCTAACTTCAAGGTCAGCAGTTGGGAAACCACCAGGCCGCTTTGGAAGAAACATGAGGTTTTCTGCTCCTCTATAGATTTCATCTCAGAAAACCAGGAACCCTATTCTACTTGCTGTCTCTATAGGTTCATCAATCCATGAGCCAAAAAACTCCTGAAAAACATGTAACAAAAATTCAAGAAGGCTACCATTTTTATCCGAATTTGTTTATCAGTAAATAACTTCCAATGACAAAATGCTTTTACATCTATAGGCAATCCCATGAACAAAATGTTGCTTCTTTGAATCTGTATAAGATCTGTCAGAAATAAGCTCTTCTATAGAAAAATATTCTATTTTATAAACCTAGAGTTGGAGTATGTTTTAAACAATAATTAGTAATTTTAAAAAATTCAATCATTATACGTTTGATTATGATAATTCTAGGAAAAGGTTTTTTCCTGTATAAAAATTTATTTGGGAAAGTTTACAACCACTCAATGACGACCAAAGAGTATAGCCACCAGTAATCCAGCTTATAATTTAACATTAAAAAAATTAAAATCTCTATAATGAGTCATATGCAGCATCATGGTAAATGGATAAAAGATTGAAGTTTTCAAGTATCTTATTTTACTAGGCTCCTCACTCGTGGAAGCAGCAGTCAAGAAAT